GAGGTTGAAGTAACTGTCGGAGGTTACGCGAAGGTCAAAGGTCAGCGACCTTTGACCTGACAAGTACAGCGCGACAGCAAGGACACACAACTGACTCGCTGCAGAGCAGTTGCCCGAGTCGTCACTGTATCGAACCGCAACAGCAACAGTAAAGTAGTTGCAACCGTATCTCTTCGTATTCCTTGTACTCTTATATAATCTTGTATCTCTTTGCTTTAATCAACTTACTTTGCCCTCACATACAAGCGCAAGGTGGTTCACAACACTTTAATTAACGCTTCCGCTACTACACCAAGTCTACCCAGAGTTCACCCCTGCAAAGATCCTAAGGGCTTTTCAGCCCAACTGTTTGTGTATGGCACTGGTAATGTTGCACCACAAATGACATACCAGTAGCTACCTTGTTGCGACACCAATATATTATTTACCTAGACCATATTTAAACAACAATCAAGGTAACAGGGTCACTACTCTCCTTAAACAATTTGACAGTTGGTCCGTGAAGGATGTGTCTGGTTATGCACTGTCGGTGCTCATACTTGTGAGTAAACGTACGGTATTGGACAGCTCAACATTCCTTTGGTAGTAATGATTTATATGTTCTTTCAACACTGTATTGCAGCCTTGCAAATAAATGTGTCATTTTGTGCCCCCCGTGCACCATACCACTTACCTCAGTTCATTGCCACGAACGTTGTTCTCTCCGACTTGCGACCCAATCGCCACCACTCACAACTAACTCCCGAGCATGCGTTCTTATCGCAGGTGTTCCATAACGGCTTCGTATCAGACTGTCGCATCGCTGTACAAACTGCGCCAATGGTTCGTCCCCGTTTCTCCGAAGTGGCGATTTTACTATTGACGTGACGCCTGCGCCAAGCTTCGTGCGGCACGCGTGAAAGACTATGAAAATTAGCCACATAAAGTCTGTGCGGGCAGAATAGATATCTTTCGTGAGCCCTAATACACTAGCGCACGTTTAAGCACTAGCAACATTTTGTATCGCTCCCTACCGCTAATGGACAGATAAACGCCCACTCCCACTGAATCATGCCCCATTGGAGCCGCAATTTTTTTATGGATGCACGTTAACCACCGTGTGATTGGTTGTTGGGGGAAACGAGGGACCTGGATGTCGCAAGGTGGAACAGAGCAGGAAACACTCAAACCCTCGTCACCTCCGTGCTCCTCTTGCGTGCCTGCTTGTGGGTCGGTCATCTGCTCCAGGCCCCTGTCTGATCCTCGTCCCTTCTATGCTCAACAATTTTTTAGTGCGCGAAGCGTAGCTGTCAGGTTGCAACGTCATAACTAACCCACACCTCAGACTACTGCGTGAATGGAAACCTAGACATTGCAATGGATAGTCAGACGATTAAGGGGCCCGATGGGGCGATCGTTTTGGCAGACTCGTCGAAATTGCTGGAGGAAAAATTTTATATGGAGTTAGTTACAGTAGATAAAATGGCCGAGATCGTTAACGAGTACCGCAAGTACAATGCGTCGTCGGCGCGTGATAACGTTGAGTCAGGACGTGACTCTTCATCTGGTGACGAATCAAATAGCGACGGCGATGTTGGGCCATACGCTAACAAGGGCGTGTCCTCCCCTCCAAAACCAAGGGAGAGGCGCGTGAGGCGCTTAGATGACATCGGTCCCAAAGCCGGCCAGAAAGGTACGTGTCTTTGGTACCATCTGCTGAAAGGTAGACTTGCATGATTAATTACCTCCGACCGATCCAGTAAGTGCGGTTTGCCGTCGTGTTTGACTTGTTCCCGTTACTGAAGCTCCGATTGTGCTTCCCCGTAACATTGTCAGAGGACAAGCGTGACAACCGAAAGGAGTAAGCGCCGTCAATAAAAGAGAGGCACTACTTCACATGCTGCGTCTGAAGGCGACGAGGAGGTCGAGGACGGCGGACCCGTCAAAGAAGGTGCGTGTTTGTGTAATATCGCCGGTTTCTAAGTAGCACGTTACTCCCTGCATCGACTGATCATACTGATGCCACTTCGTGCAATTAAGGTTAGCGCGCACTGGACTGCTAATGTTCTTGTGATGTCCGCCCTCGCAGCTCCGTCAGCAGACAGGCGTGCAAGACAACGCGGTAGATGTTATGACCGTAGCGGGAGGGCTGCGGAGTATCCTGGCAGTCCATCTGGCCGCCTAGGAATGTCTGCGCGTGGCGACGAGCAGGAACATGGTGAGCTTGAAGGGCGTGGTGGTGGAAAGCGCAACAACGCGAAGGCGGCGGCGGCGGCCAAGGGCAGTCCCTCGGGGAGGCTCTCAAAGGACGTGGCTGGTGGCGACGAGCAGGAACATGGCGAGCTTGAAGGGCGTAGTGGTGGAAAGCGAAACAACGCGAAGGCGGCGGCGGCAAAGGGCAGTCCCTCGGGGAGGCTCTCGCAGGAGGTGGCTGGTGGCGACGAGCAGGAACATGGCGAGCTTGAAGGGCGTGGTGGTGGAAAGCGCAACAACGAGAAGGCGGCGGCGGCGGCCAAGGGCAGTCCCTCAGGGAGGCTCTCGCTGGATGTGGCTGGTGGCGACGAGCAGGCGCTGCCCAGGCCCATTATAGAAGGTTGGCGGTTCCTGGCTACTTTTGTCGTTGATTTTGAGGTTGCATAGCCTTCGCTGCCACCCTCCTTGTATATTGTTACCTGTTGCACCAGCAACTATGTCGTGAGTGACGTGACACCAAGATTGTCTCTCTCATATCCCTCTCGCTGCAGGGCTAGCAGAGCAGCGAGGTGGTGGCGGTATCGATCACGATGAGGACAAGCCTGCAGCAGTGACTGCTGGGAAAGAACATGGACGTGAAGCTGTGATTCCGTACAAACGACGCAATGCTGTGGACTCGGCCGGTCGCGACCGAAATGCGAGACAAGCTCGACAAGGGACGAAACAGTATGTTTCGAGCTCGTCGGGTTCGGAGGAGGGATCCAGCGATAGTGAGTCAGGCAGCTCATCCGGGAGTGAGGAAGTATACGAGGACGAGGAGGAGGAGGAAGAGGAAGAGGAGGATGAGGAGTTGGAGCCGGAGAGCGAGGATGAGGAGGAGGCTCGGCCTTTGAAGAGGAGGGGTGTGCGGAAGACCAAGAAGGGCAATGGAAAGCGAAAATCGGAGACAGGACGGGTGAAGAGCTATAAGCAGAGTGTGCGTCGTGCCAAACCACATGGCAAGCGCCAGAGACCTCGACTCGAAGCTAAAATTGTGGGTGTGCGTAGCAAGGAGAAGCGGGAGTTGGATTTTTACGAGTCCATGGGGCTACGATGTCCATCAAGCCCTCATGATCGGAAAGCCACCGACACGTATGCTGCGTTACGCGAGCAGATGGATTCGTCTGGGAAGGGAGATCCGATCGCTTGGGGGTCAGCGCGGTTTGGCAGGGAAGCGCCGGACCCGCATGCAAAGCTTTCGGGGGGTCACGCGGTTCAGGTGAAAATCGAGGGAGCAACGAAGCGGCACGAACCCTCGGCCGCCGCAGCAGCCAATGACGGTGTGGGAGGAGGTGTGTGGGCGAATTCCTTGGGTGAATGTGGCCGCGGTGTGGAAGGCTCCATGTGGGATGTACGGGATAGCAGGGGAGAAGGAGGAGACTTGAAAATGGATCCGGCGACTAAGGAGGGGAGGGGCGAGAGCATGGGCACACCTGGCGCATCCAGTCGGCCCAACGTGGCTGGCGGCAAGACGGTGGAGCAGCTCATGCGGGAGCTTGCCCAGCGGGATCGCGAAATTGCGGCACTCAAGGCAAGGCCAGGAGCCAAAGGACCTGTCAAACCCTGCACCCCTCCGTCTAGGCCTCCTCCTATTGCGTCTCTGTCGAGCGGCCCATCTGCAGTGGGCCTCGATCCAGGCGTGGCGCCAGAAAGCCCATCGACGGTAGACGTACCGGTCCGTCGAACGCGTGGGATGCCCAAGCCCAAGCTGCTGAAGGTGGGTATGTTTAAGTGTTAAGCAATGTGTGGCATGGGGCTCAGTGATAGCTGCAGCTCTCTCTCTCAACACCTCGTTTCCTCCACCTCTTTATGCTGGTCAGAGTGTTTGTACCATTATGCGCAGTGATAGCGGCCTGGCTGCGGTGTGATAGGCACTCCCAGTACGCCCCGCTTCAGGGACGCTGGTGCTGGGCGTACGATACTCTCACACTCTACCCCACCTCTGCGAGCTCACCATAACTCTTCTATTTCCTCCTGCCAATGAAAACCGATGAAAAACCTGCATCCGGAAAACCGATGAAAAAAGTTGCTTTGGAGTTTTGTCGAATGATTCATGAACGACGTTTTTTGAACGCTTTTTTGAGAAAGTATAGGTTGCTCTCCAAATGCTTTCTCGAACGCTTTTCAAATGCTTCTCCAATGCGTTTCTGTTCAAACCTGCCAGGTGAACACCTTCGGAAGAAGTTTGGTTCAAGTTTCCGCAGAGCAATTTCGAAGATCGGATCTCATTGCAATGTATTCTTTATGGGATTTCGGGTTCATTAAAATAAGCTTATGTAGGAGACTTGCACGACCTTAGATGTATTTTAAAACTATGTTAAGTTGCCTCAATCTTGCATTCAAAATGAACAGTACAAAAGCTTTGGTAAAAGCTGATAATTCCACCCTAAAAACGCACATAAAACAGCATCCTAAACCCTCTGTGCCTAGTCAGTTAGGTTGAGCTGCATCCTACGACCTGCTTAGCATGCTCCAGTACACTATGTCTTCCACCGAACCCCATCTCTGGTGCTCTAGGTTGAGCGTGCCCCTGCGTCCACTGCTTCATTGCATGCTCTGCCCTCTCATGCGTCTGCTGCTCCGCCCCTGGCGCTCCCCAGTCTTGCCTTTACTGCTGCTTGCTCCAGTCATGCCTAACCTGCTGCCCCCCTTGTGCACTCCCCTCTATCTGCTCGTGCCTTTTCTGCTGCCCCCCCAACTCTCTCAACTCATGCCTTTTCTGCTGCACCCTCTTGCACTATCTGGTTGCCTTGCTGGTTGCCCACCCTTGGACACTCCTCACATTGTCTCTACTGCTGCCCCCCTTGCTGACTCCACGCTTTTGCCGCCCGTGCTACCCCCCATGCTGACTCTACTTTCTTGCCTGGCGTGCTGCCCCCCTTGCTGTCTCCACCAATGCCTCTACCTCCGTTTTGACGTCTCCTCGCAAGTGAGTGATGCCTATCCTGCTGCCCCCCCTTGTAAACTCCACTCATGCCTCATCTGCTGCCCCCCTTGTTTAGTCGCCCCATCGCTTGACCCTCTTGCCTCCCCGGCGTTTGCCACTCTTGTGTCTTTTGCCCCTCCTTCGCTCCTGGCCCCCCCCCTTCTCATCCTCATCCTCATCCTCTTCCTCCTCTTCCACTTCTTCCTCCTCTTCCTCTTCCCTCCTGCTTCCCTTGCCTCCGCCTCTTTTGTGCTTTCTGCCCTTCCTCCTCTCCTGCCCCCTATGATTTTCATCCGCCTGCTCCCCCTCCTCCTCCTCATCATCCTCTTCCTCTTCCCCCCTGCTTCCTCTGATTTTCCCTCTCTTCTGCCTTCTGCCCTTCCTAAGCTCCCACCCCCCCCGTTCCACATCCTCCTCCTCCTCTTCCTCATCCTCATCCTCTTGCTCATCCCTCTTGCCTCCCCTGCTTTTGCATCTCTTGTGCCTTTTGCTCTTCCTCCGCTCCTGCCCCCACTGTTCCTCCTTCTCCTCATCCTCCTCCTCCTCCTCCTCCTCCTCCTCCTCCTCCTCCTCCTCCTCCTCCTCCTCCTCCTCCTGATCCTCGTCATCCTCCTCGTCATCCGTCTTCAAGTCCTCCGCGTCGTACACCTCCTGCTCTTCCTCCTTCAAGTCCTTCTTCTCCTCGTCAGGCACGGCCTTCCCCTTGAACGCCTCAAATCCTGACTCGTGAACATACAGGCCACGGTTGCCCCACTTGAAGCCCTGCACGACTGTGTTGTACACAGGGGTGTGGCGTGTGAAGTGGTCCTTGATAATCCACCGCACATTTCGGTGCAAACCTGTCATCCACTCGGTGTTCTTGCGGTGGGAGTTCGAGACGTTCCAGTCGGTCTTCTTAACCTTTGCCAAGCCCTGGTCAATCTGAAAAAGCGTAGCAAAGTATGGGAAAGAGGGGAAATAGAGACATATGTGGACACTCGCGTGTAGTGTTCACGGGCTGCGCAAATAGCCCCACATTCCAGTCTGGCGGGCAAGAATTGCAAGTAAAGCTAGAGCGAACTGACGGGAGAGCAATAATGCCTTACCACCATGATTGACCAGGCAATGTGGTAGGCTTTGACGCACACCCGGCGCCCGACACAGAGATTCCGAAATGCTTCCCGGACCGCATCTACAAACCGGCCGTTGGCAAACGGGAGCCCGTCTCTGCTGTTTCCCCACGAGCTGACCCGCTGATTCCCTCCTGCGCGCACGCAAGACAAGGGGGGGACGAAGATCATGCACGACATGGTTTAGGGGTTGTCCAAAGGGTATGGACGAAGTGGAGGGCGGTATAGAATGAATGGAGGGTTGGCTGGAGGGCAGTAGAGCAGGGAAGGGCGGGAGAGAAGGGGAGGGCAGGAGAGAAGGGGAGGGCAGGGGAGAGGGGGAGGGCAGGAGAGACATGGAGGGCGGGATAGAAGGGGATGGCTGAAGAGAAATGGAGGGAGGGAGAGAACGGGATGGCGGGAGGGAAGGGGAGAGGTGTAGATTAAAGGGGGGGCGGGAGAAGGGGACAGTGGGAGAAGAACCAACGTTAAGCTGTCATGCGGATGTGACTGCACATGCGCTACAAGGCTGGGCAAGGAGAGCAGGTATGTAGTTGCGTGCCACAGTGGGGATGCATTAGGGTAAGTTGTTCATCATCGTCACGAGGGGTGCACGAGCAGATGAAATGAATGGTGAAGTAAAACAAAAACGCGCGTTCTCACTCGGTTGGTATTTTCTCCACATCTTCTTCTTCTTCTTGGTGCCCATCCAGAGATCGGCTGCACGCAGGCCTTGCACATTCTTGCCGAAAGTTACAAGCACTCTGCGCTTGAGGTGGAAGCCACGATCGTTCTTCCATGACGTCCAAGCGCGTTTGAAGCCGTCGACGATGTTTTTGTCTTCCATAGCCTCTTGCAGCTGCATCAGCTTAATTATGTGCGTCTCGCTGATAACCTGATACAAAACCTGAAGGCGGTGTTCGAGCGTTGGGTAGAAGTCTATGGCATCGTCTGGCCATTCTAGGCACATCCGGTCCCGCCCCACGGCGAAATGAACCTATGACGGACGGGTGGATTGGAAACGTAAAATTGAGTGATGCCTCCGAATGAAGGGCGGAATTCAGAGGTTGAGAGAGAGGGCTGTTGCCATCACTGCGCCGCATGGCTCGCATACCAACAACAGCACCATGAACATGGGCTCTGGAAGAGGTGGTGGAGGGATGGGAGAGAGGGTGCAGGGAGAGGAAGGATAGCTGCTATGGTGAGCGATCACTCCACCGCATGACACCCACCCCACCACCATCACCATGAACAGGAGCTCTGGTTGAGGTAGGGGAGCGATGGTAGAGTGAGAGGGGAGAGAGGGGGGATATAATAGTCAGAGCGAAAGACGGGAGAGTAGGCAGAGTGAGAGGGCACCGTACGCCCAGCGCGAGGGTTCATATTCTCCTCGTACGAGGAGTCTCAACTTCCACTGCAGCCACCCCCCTGCACGCTACGCCGCATGCCACACGCGTGACCAGCAGCACCTTTTACAGTGGCTCTGGACGAGGAGGGAGAGGGACGGGATAGAGAGGGGAGGGAGGAGCGGCGGACAGAAAGGGGGCCGCGTGGGATTGACGGATACGGCTTCCTCTATTCCCTCCGCCGCATGACACCCACACCACCCCCAGCACCATGAACAGGGGCTCTCGCAGAGGGAGGGGAGGGATGGGAGAGAGAGGGGAGTGAGATGAAGGATGACTGCTATGCTTAGCTATCCCTCCGCCGCATGACATGTATTCCACAACCACACCCAGCACCATGAACATGGGCTCTCGCAGAGGGAGGGGAGGGATGGGAGAGAGAGGGGAGTGAGATGAAGGATGACTGCTATGCTTAGCTATCCCTCCGCCGCATGACACCCACACCACCCCCAGCACCATGAACATGGGCTCTCGCAGAGGGAGGGGAGGGATGGGAGAGAGTGGGGAGTGAGATAAAGGATGACTGCTATGCTTAGCTATCCCTCCGCCGCATGACACCCACACCACCCCCAGCACCATGAACATGGGCTCTCGCAGAGGAGGGGAGGGATGGGAGAGAGGGGGGAGGGATGGGAAGGATAACTGCTGCGATTTACGATTACTCCGCCGCATGACACCCACCCCACCACCAGCACCATGAACAGGAGCTCTGGTTGAGGTAGGGGAGCGATGCACGAGTGAGAGTGGAGAGAGAGGGGATTAAATAGTCAGAGCGAAAGACGGGAGAGTAGGCAGAGTGAGAGGGCAACGTACGCCCAGCGCGAGGGTTCATGTTCTCCTCGTACGAGGAGTCTCAACTTCCACTGCAGCCACCCCCCTGCACGCTACGCCGCATGCCACACGCGTGACCAGCAGCACCTTTTACAGTGGCTCTGGACGAGGAGGGAGAGGGACGGGATAGAGAGGGGAGGGAGGAGCGGCGGACAGAAAGGGGGCCGCGTGGGATTGACGGATACGGCTTCCTCTATTCCCTCCGCCGCATGACACCCACACCACCCCCAGCACCATGAACAGGGGCTCTTGCAGAAGGAGGGGAGGGATGGGAGAGAGAGGGGAGTGAGATGAAGGATGACTACTATGCTTAGCTATCCCTCCGCCGCACGACATGTATTCCACACCACACCCAGCACCATGAACATGGACTCTCGCAGAGGGAGGGGAGGGATGGGAGAGAGTGGGGAGTGAGATAAAGGATGACTGCTATTCTTAGCTATCCCTCCGCCGCATGACACCCACACCACCCCCAGCACCATGAACATGGGCTCTCGCAGAGGGAGGGGAGGGATGGGAAGGATAACTGCTGCGATTTACGATCACTCCGCCGCATGACACCCACCCCACCACCAGCACCATGAACAGGAGCTCTGGTTGAGGTAGGGGAGCGATGCATGAGTGAGAGTGGAGAGAGAGGGGATTAAATAGTCAGAGCGAAAGACGGGAGAGTAGGCAGAGTGAGAGGGCACCGTACGCCCAGCGCGAGGGTTCATGTTCTCCTCGTACGAGGAGTCTCAACTTCCACTGCAGCCACCCCCCTGCACGCTACGCCGCATGCCACACGCGTGACCAGCAGCACCTTTTACAGTGGCTCTGGACGAGGAGGGAGAGGGACGGGATAGAGAGGGGAGGGAGGAGCGGCGGACAGAAAGGGGGCCGCATGGGGTTGACGGATACGGCTTCCTCTATTCCCTCCGCCGCATGACACCCACACCACCACCAGCACCAGGAACAGGGGCTCTCGCAGAGGGACGGGAGAGAGAGGGAAGTGAGATGAAGGATAACTGCTATTCTTAGCTATCCATCCGCCGCATGACACTCACACTACCACCAGCACCAGGAACAGGGGCTCTGGAAGAGCTAGGCGAGGGATGGGAGAGAGGGGGGAGGGATAGGAAGGATAACTGCTACAATGAGCTATCCTTGCGCCGCGTGCCACCCACACCAGCACCAGCACCATGAACAGGGGCTCTGGTTTAGGGTGGGAAGGGATGGGAGAGAGGGGCCAATGGAGGATGGATAACTGCTATGGTGAGCTCTGGGTCGCGGGCAGAATGTGAGAGCATCGTACGCCCAGCGCCACGTCCCTGAAGCGAGGCGTACTGGGAATGCCTATCCCACTGTAGACTTGCCGCTATCACTGCGCATAATGCCACAAACACGCTTACCAGCAGCAAGAGGGGTTGAGAGAGAGAGCTGCAGCTATCACTGAGCCCCATGCCACACATTGTTTAACACTAAAACAATCTCACCTTCAGCAGCTTGGGTGTGGGCATCCCACGCGTTCGACGGACCGGTACGTCTACCGTCACTGGGCTTTCTGGCGCCACGTCTGGATCGAGGCCCCCTATAGATGGGCCGCTCGACAGAGATGCTAGAGGAGGAGGCCTAGATGGAAGGGTGCAGGGCTTGACAGCTCCTTTCGATCCTGGCCTTGCCTTGAGTGCAGCGATTTCGCGATCCCGCTGGGCAAGCTCTCGCATGAGCTGCTCCACAGTCCTGCCGCCAGCCACATCCGGCCGACTGGATGCGCCAGGTGTGCCCATGCTCTCTCCCCTCCCCTCCTTAGTCGCCGGATCCATTTTTTCGTCCCCCCCTTCTCCCCTGCTCTCCCGTACATCCCACATGGAGCCTTCCACACCGCCGCCACATTCACCCAAGGCATTCGCCTACACACCTCCTCCCACACCGTCATTCGCTGCTGCAGCTACCAAGGGTTCGTGCCGCTTCGTTGCCCCCTCGTTCTTCACATGAACCGCGCGACCCCCCATATGGTTGGGGGGCGGGTCCGTCGCTTCTTTGCCAAACCGCGCTGACCCCCAAGCCATCTGATCTCCCTTCCCAGCCGAACCCATCGGATCGCGTAACGCAGCGTACGGGTGGGCGGCTTGCCGTTCATGAGAGCTTGATGGACATCGTATCCCCATTGATTCGTAAAAAATCAACTCCCGCTTCGCCTTGCAACGCACACCCACTATTTTAGCTTCGAATCGAGGTCTCTGGCGCTTGCCATGTGGTTTGGCACGACGCACACTCTGTTTACAGATCTTCACCCGTCCCCTCTCCGATTTTTGCTTAGCGTTGCCCTTCTTGAGCTTCCGCACACTCCTCCTCTTCAAAGGCCGAGCCTCCTCCCCATCCTCGCTCTCCGGCTCCAACTCCTCATCATCCTCGTCCTCCTCCTCAACCTCGTCCTCGTATACCTCCTCACTCCCGGATGAGCTGCCCGACTCACTGTCGCTCGAATCTTCCTCGGAACCAGACGAGCTCGAAACGTGCACATTGGGGCCGTGCCGAGCTTGTCTCGCCTTATGGTCGCAACTGCCCGGATCCACAGCCTTGCGCCGTTGGTAGGGAATCACAGCTTCACGTCCACCTTTCCCATCAGTCACAGCTGCAGGCTCGTCCTCATCATGATCGTTAACGCCACGGCATGCAGGCACGGCATGATCCTTCTCGTCGCCACCATCCGCATCCTGCGACTACCTGCCCGAGGGACCGCCCTTAGCCGCGGCAGCCCTGCCGCCGTTGCGCATGCCGCCACCACGAGCTTCCGGCTCGGCATGATCCTTCTCGTCGCCACCATCCGCATCCTGTGAGCCCGAGGGACCGGCCTTGGCCGAGGCAGCCCTACCGCCGTTGCGCATGCCGCCACCACGAGCTTCCGGCTTGGCATGATCCCCCTCGTCGCCACCATCTGCATCCTCCGACTGCCTGCCCGTGGGACCGCCCTTAGCCGCGGCAGCACTGCCGCCGTTGCGCATGCCGCCACCACGAGCTTCCGGCTCGGCATGATCCTTCGCGTCGCCACCATCCGCATCCTGTGAGCCCGAGGGACCGGCCTTGGCCGCGGTAGCCCTACCGCCGTTGCGCATGCCGCCACCACGAGCTTCCGGCTTGGCATGATCCCCCTCGTCGCCACCATCTGCATCCTCCGACTGCCTGCCCGTGGGACCGCCCTTAGCCGCGGCAGCCCTGCCGCCGTTGCGCATGCCGCCACCACGAGCTTCCGGCTCGGCATGATCCTTCTCGTCGCCACCATCCGCATCCTGTGAGCCCGAGGGACCGGCCTTGGCCGCGGCAGCCCTACCGCCGTTGCGCATGCCGCCACCACGAGCTTCCAGCTTGGCATGATCCCCCTCGTTGCCACCATCTGCATCCTCCGACTGCCTGCCCGTGGGACCGCCCTTTGCCGCGGCAGCCCTGCCGCCGTTGCGTATGCCGCCACCACGAGCTTCCGGCTCGGCATGATCCTTCTCGTCGCCACCATCCGCATCATGCGAGCCCGAGGGACCGCCCTTGGTCGCGGCAGCCCTGCCGCCGGTGCGCTTTCCGCCACCACGAGCTTCCGGCTCGGCATGATCCCCCTCGTCGCCTCCATCCGCATCCTGCGACTGCCTGCCCGAGGGACCGCCCTTGGCCGCGGCAGCCCTGCCGCCGTTGCGCTTTCCGCCACCACGAGCGCGTTGGCCTGCCGTCCCATCTGCAAAGGCGGACATGACAGGTACATAAGAAATACTGTGCACACATTATCTTATTGGCAGGAAGTTGCAGCATGACATGCGGCGTCATTGTTATGAGTAACGTGCAAAATATAAACCGTCGATATCACACCCACATCGTACCTAAGCTATCAGGTCCCCCGTCTTTGCCCTCCTCGTCGCCTTCAGACGCAGGCGTTTCCTCACGATGTGAACGAGTGCCTCTTTTTCTTGGACGGTGCTTACGCCCCCCCCGGTTGTCACGCTTGTCCGCTATCGCTGATGTGGAAACACAATTGGAGAGACGATAACCTCCAACAGGTCAGACACGACTACAAGCATCAATTCATGCATACAAGTAGAATATTCCGCATCTGCGACCATAAACACATACCTTTCTGGCCGCCTTTGGGAACGAGATCATCTAAGCGCTTCACGCGCTTATCCCTTGGTTTCGAAGCGGATGATATGCCCTTGTTTGCGTATGGCTCCACATCGCAGTCGCTATTCGATTCGTCACCGGATGACGAGACACGTCTGGAATCAACAACATCTCGCGCCGTCGATGCATTATTTTTGCGATACTCGATTAAGAGCTCGGCCGTCTTATCTGCTGTTACTAACTCCGCAAACTTTGTTTCGTCGGGGGTTTTTGTCGATTCAGCCAGTACGATCGCCCCCTCGGGCCCCTTCATTGTCTGACTTCCTTGTTACCATGTCTAGCTTTCCATTCACGCAGTACTATGAGGTTGCGGGTTGTGCTACCGCCTAGAACCTGACAGCAGTCTACGAGCATAAAAAAATGGTTGAGGAGGGAGAGGGACGAGGCAAAGTCTGGGGCCTAGAGCAGACGATCGTCACAGCTGGAGGCATGCAAGGGGAGCACGGAGGTGATGAGGGTTTGAGTGTTTCCAGCTATGGTGCACGTTGCGACTGCCAGGTCCCCCTTTTCCGCCCTCAACCAATCGCCTGGTGGTTGAGGTGTATAAAGGAAAAAAATGCAGCACTGCCGTGTTAAGATTCCGTGGGACCTAACGTGCTTAATTGAGTATCAGTCCACAAGCGGCAGGGTGGGCTTCTTTTTGTTAAACCCGACAGTCAAATGCGCTACTGTATCTGGGTTTGCGAGGGTCATAATTATTCTGCCCGGGTTGTCGTACTGTTTACAATCAAGTGCCTCGCGTGCCACACAAACCTACACAAGCTGCACGTCAAGAGTCACATAGGGTCTGCGGAGAAACGGCGACGCTCGATCGCAGCAAGTCGTACAGCGATGCGACAGGTCGACACGAAGCCGTTGCGGCACGCCTGCGATAAAAACGCAAACTCAAAAGTTCCTTGTGTGTGGTTGCGACTGGTTCGCAAATCAGGGAGATTCGCGTACGTGGCATAGCGTGGAGTCGAGTGGAATGGCGTAGGGCGGGGCACGTAATGGCACATTAGTTTGCAAAGCCTCAATAGTGTGGTGTACGTAAATGATAAAAATAGAATTAGGGGGTTATGGAGTTGTAAGGAAAATCTCGTTTTCCTTACTTCGCATCCCTGCTCAACGCGTCCATCACTGTAGCACCTCAGTCAGCACCGTTACCACTCGCATCGACAATCCGCCCCCCACTTTCGCACGTCGCACCCCGACCTCACGGCTCGGCGGTAACCCGCGCTCCAGACCTTCGCCTCGACATTTTCCCAACCTCAGTGCCATGCCCGTCGCGCGACAACCACAGTCCATTACCGTTACCACTGTGGTTTCGCTATATAACCTTTCGCTCATACCTTCGCTCAGTTGTACTTTTTTCCCGATAGTGCAATCCTCGTTCGCTCACTCAATTGCACTCGTAACAGGAGTCCCCCTAACCCATTAGCATAGTGACAAGTATGCAACATAACAGTGTAAAACCAAACACCACCTTCACAGAACATGTACATAACGGTCTGCGGTGGAGCAGTCATTCTGATACATCGATTGATTAGTAAGTACGCATTATTTGATTGCTGCCTGGTCGTTATGCAATGCGTATGGGCATGTCTCCTCTCATGCCAATTGAGGTGCAATAATACGGTAATAGAGCCAGACACAAACTCCCCGTATGGGGCATGGCTGCTCTCATGCCATACAGGGCAACCTTTATGCAGGGACCCAAGACCATGCTGTGTTGTATGTTCTAGGTTCATGCTGGAACGGAGTTGAGAAACCCCTGCTGTTCTACCCACTAGAGTTGTGGCGACATGCAGGTATGTTTTGCAGCATCACACCGACCCATTGTGTATTGTTTGTATACATGTCAAGCAGGAACGCCAGTGACAAACACTTCCCTACGGGTGGTGTTCTCTAGACATGGAGGACTGGTTGTGGCCAACACTCTCATTTGGCCACACTTGTTGTCAAGTCATGCAGGACTGATTCAAGGCCTCTCCATTGCGCTTTGTGTCATGTTTGTTGGCATATCAAGCTGGCAGGACAGATGAACAAACAATTCCGTATTGATCTTGTCCTCATTCCCCCATGCTACCCGCTTCCTTGTTCTTCACTCACACACTTATTCCTCCCATGTACCCGCCTCACTCCCTCCTGCTTCCCGCCTCATTACCTCTGCTTCCCGCCTCATGTCCCCTCGCTTCCGGCCTCATCCTCCCTTGCTACCCACCCCATTCTCCCTTGCTTCCCACCCCATTCTTCACTGTGACCCTCCTCATTCTCCCTTGATACCCTCCCCATTTCCCCTTGCTTCAGGCCTCATTCCCCCTTGCTTCAGAGCCGCGTCCCCCTTGCTTCCCGCCTCATTCTCCCTTGCTACCCCCCTCATTCCCTCTGCTTCCCGCCTCATGTCCCCTCGCTTCCGGCCTCATCCCCCCTTGATAGCCACCCCATTCCCCCTTGCTTCCCACCCCATTCTTCACTTCTACCCTCCTCATTCTCCCTTGATACCCTCCCCATTCCCCCTTGCTTCAGGCCTCATTCCCCCTTGCTTCGGGCCTCATACTCACTTGCTACCTCCCTCATTCCCCCTTCCTTCAGCTCCTCGTCCCCCTTGCTTCCCGCCTCATTCTCCCTTGCTACCCCCCTCATTCCCTCTGCTTCCCGCCTCTAGTCCCCTCGCTTTCGGCCTCATTCCCCCCTGCTACCCACCCCATTCCCCCTTGCTTCCCACCCCATTCTTCACTGCTACCCTCCTCATTCTCCCTTGATACCCTCCCCATTCCCCCTTGCTTCAGGCCTCATTCTCCCTTGCTTCAGGCCTCATTCCCCCTTGCTTCGGGCCTCATACTCCCTTGCTACCCCCCTCATTCCTCCTTGCTTCAGGCCCCAATTCCCCTTGCTTCCCGCCTCATTCTCCCTTGCTACCCCCCTCATTCCCCTTTGCTTCCCGCCTCATGTCCCCTCGCTTCCGGCCTCATCCCCCCTTGCTAGCCACCCCATTCCCCCTTGCTTCCCACCTCATTCTTCACTGCTACCCTCCTCCATCACAAAAATCATATGACCAGAAACCTATTGTAAAAAGTTGTGGTGAAGTATTTTCAAATGCTTTTAAAACGTAGGGGCCAAAACGCTTTTCGGTGAAAGTATAAACATTTTTTCGAATGCTTTGTCGAATGCTTTGCAGGTGATGACATGTTTGTATTACCTTCAGATTAGGGTCTGTCTGAGTTTCTTCGGAGATGTATAAGACTTCGTTCGGAGAGTTCAGGGAGATTACTTTCCACTCATATACTCTTTAGCAGAGCTTAGGACCAAAGTTCAAGAAGATTGTATATGAACCTTTATCAAGTGATTCTCGTTGTTTGATGGAAGGTCTATTAGCCATTCTTAGGTGTACACGCACATCATGAATGCATTGCTCAATGATTATTAATCTCATTACAGAGTTGGCTTGGCACACAAAACAGCTGCCTAAACACGCGTTGCGTAGTCCTGCTAGGGTGGATTAATCTGCACCATCCTCCTACCTACTTCGCAAGCCATCATCGGATGCAGCCCCGCCCCATCTCTCCAGCTCTTGGCCTAGAGAGTTCTTGACTACAGATACTGCTCCATCTAATGCTAACCTGCACGGCTACACACTTCCTGTCTCCTCTCTTGCTTATACTCCTGTCCCCTTGCTGTCTCCACGCTGCTGCCCCCTATGCGGTCTCCTCTCATGCCTGCTCCTGCTGCTCCACATTGGGCCTCTCCTGGAACTCCCCTCTTACCTCCCGGCCTCCCCCCCCCTGATGCTACTCATGCTGCCTCCACTGCTCCTCCACTACTGCCTCACATGCTGCCTCCACTGCTCCTCCGCCACCCAGGCAACCTGCAAAACGGTCGCATATTAAATATGCACTCCTCCCCTACTGCCACGGGATGTTGCCTCCCCCCTGCTGCCATTCAATGTTGCCTCCCAAGCTGCCTCCCTTTGTTGTCTCCCCTGCTGCCATTCTAGTTGCCTCCCATGCTGCCTCTCTCTGTTGCCTACCCTGCTGCTGTTCAATGTTGCCTCCCCTACCGCCTCCCTTTGTTGCCTCCCCTGCCCCTTTGTTGCCTCCCCTGCTGCCATTCTATGTTGCCTCCCATGCTGCCTCTCTCTGTTGTCTCGCCTGCTGCCATTCTATGTTGCCTCCCCTACTCCCTCTCTCTGTTGCCTACCCTGCTGCTATTTAATGTTGCCTCCCCTGCTGCCTCCCTTTGTTGCCTCCCTTGCTGCCATTCTATGTTGCCTCCCATTCTGCCTCTCTGTTGCCTCCCCTGCTGTCATTCTATGTTGCCTTCCCTGCTCCCTCTCCCTGTTGCCTCCCGTGGTGCCTTTCTCTGTTGCCTCCCCTGCTGTCATTCTATGTTGCCTTCCCTGCTCCCTCTCCCTGTTGCCTCCCGTGGTGCCTTTCTATGTTGCCTCCCCTGCTGCCTTTCCTTGTTGACTCTCGGCTTCTTACCCTTGTTGCCTATCCTGATGCCTTTCCTTTATCCATACCCGTTAAACGCCCCTGCTCTCCCCGTTAACCAATACCCTCCTGCCTCACCCGATGCCTCTCCAACTTCCTCCACT